CACACACACACACACACACACACACACACACACACACACACACACACACACACACACAAAAGACACCCCACCCAAGCCACTACAATTTTGGGATGCACCTTGTAGCATGACATTTATTAGGAATAAAGACTTCTGAGTTCTGATGCATTTGTGCGTGTGGAGGTCTTTATGTTACCACTATGTGGTACCTAGTTTTTATTATATTTCAAGATTAAACTAAAAGTATACTTAGAAGATTACTTTTACTACACTTCTGAATATACTTTCATAAACTTATTGTGGGCCAGTTTAGTCCTACAAGTATACTTGTTAGTAAATTGCTAGTATACTTTCATTAGTGTACATGGTAAATAAAAGTACACTTAGGGAAATACATTTTTATATACTTTAGTACTGAATTAATGAATGAATGATGTGTAACATTTTGGCTCAGTCAAAACATCCTTAACCAGCCTGTAAAAAGATATTGATATTTAGTGATCAACTAGCACTTTCCTTTCACAAGTTATGACTAAAATTAATCTTTAAAAAACATGTTGCTTCCTGCCCAACTCGACCTAGCTAATCCCCGCTGCCTCCAGCCTCCTCAAACCCCACCATCAATTCGACCAATCATGTCTCTTGGGCCGTCTCCGCCCACAGGACAACTTTGTCCTGTAGGCCTGTATTGTCGTACTAATATTTAATATTCACTCTGCATACCGCTGTCATATTGCTTTTTTGTGAATAACACTTTAAAGCACACTGCACAGATAYATCCTGGTATAATGAAGTATAATGTATATCTTTCTGTATATTGTGTACTATGTGTAAATTACATGTAAAGTATCTGTATAGTGTTAATACTAGAGAGAAACAAATTCCTTGTGTGTGTCAACACACTTGGCCAATAAACCTGATTCTGATTCTGAACATGTACTGCAGAGGCCCCTACTTGTCAAACTCTGAAGAGCGTCTCATGGAGATTAGAAAACTTTATGAAACATCAGTGAAGGAATCTAACGTCTTTCAGGGAGCAACAAGTTTGTGGGAGGAAATAACTCAGATCCTGGGTAAGTAGTTCTTTTTTTTTTGTTGTTTTAAAGCTAAAATGCAAACTATCTCTTCCTCCTCATCCTTGACATCATGACTCAAATTGCGAAAAATTAAAGAATTTGTCAGGCGGTCAGTACGCTCGAGTACGAAGTCTCAAACGTCCACGGACAACATGGGCGGAATATGCGCGACTCACACACCGCACACAGTACGCCTGAGTACGTGGGAGCCTTTACCCTAAACCTAACCTACTCAGTTCACACCTTAGTCCTGAACTGAACCCCTGACCCAGCACCAATATTTCCCCCAATAGAGACTGGGCTTTTGTCCCCATAAGGAACAGTGGGTCCTCACAAGGCTGGGACACACACACACACACACACACACACACACACACACACACAC